AAGGGTTGTGGGTCAGAAAAGAAGGGTTGTGGGTCAGAAAAGAAGGGTCGTGGGTCAGAAAAGAAGGGTCGTGGGTCAGAAAAGAAGGGTCGTGGGTCAGAAAAGAAGGGTTGTGGGTCAGAAAAAAGGGTTGTGGGTCAAAAAAAAGGGTTGTGGGTCAGAAAAAAGGGAATTCCTTATTTGGTATTTTGTTTGATATTTTATTTGATATATCTTCTGGCATTTTTTTGTATATTTATTGGCATTTTATTTGATAATGTATTTAGCAATTTATCTGATACATTATTTGATATATTATTTGGCATATTTCTTGCAACATTCTATTTGGGTCTAGGGTTGCACATTGCGATCCGGAGCTTGCTCGACAAGATTAGCTAAAGCAGATTGGCGATGGAGATGGGCGATGAAGGAAGCCAGGAGGAAGGAGGAGGAGGAAGAATAATTGGGATAAAATTTCTTAATAATTACCTGGCAGGGGGGGAAAAAATTATTTATATTATAAATTATATATTTAGAATAATTATAAATAATATACCACACCTATATATTGTGTAATCGTATTAACTTTGAATTATATATATATAGATATATTTTGTAAATTAGATTTACACAAGTAAATAGAATATGGAATTATAAATATTTGGATGGATCAAGGAAATGAAGATTTAAATAAAATATATATATGGATAATAAAAAATTAGTATAATAATAATCTTTTTGATAATATTATGATATAATTTAATTGATATAATTTGACAAGATTTCTAATAAATATTTATATATTGATGAATTAAATAAGGAAAATAATAAATGATTCTGATTAGGGAAATAATATAACAGAATTAAAATATAATAATGGATTTATTTGAGTCAATAAATACCGGACGATATCATTCATATATTATAATTATTGAATTATATAATTCTTCTTGTCATGGTAATGTAATAAAATAGGACATATTTATAATTTTATATTTTCAATCATAATTTCTAATGTTATTTGCCGCCCGGGTTGCATATATTCTTCAAATCGGATGGACATATCGAAACAGATATATATAAATATATTCAATCATATCGTATTTCTCATGAATATAATATATTAAAAAATAAAGATCAATGAAGGTATAAAAATCGATTTCATCATAGAAATTTATAGATTACAATCTAATAATATTATAATATCAATTTCCCGAGAAAAATTTAACAATAAATGAAATATATCTTTAATTGAATTAATAATTTATGCATAAATTTGAAAATATCCTTAATTCAATATATTATCCAATTATTGTCTAAAAATCAATGTTTAAATATTATATATATATATTAATATAAATAATATATTATTAATATTTCATAAAAAATATAAATTTATCTATTTAATACAATTAAATATTATATAATTAGTTTTTAATTATTCTTATATATTTTATTGGATATAAATTATATCAAAAGAATTATATTATAATTTTATAATTTATTTGAAACCAAATATATATATTCCTCAATAATTATTAAATTAATATAAAATATCAATAATATATATTTATTTATTTTCATTATATATATATATGGATTGCATTCAAAAAGATCTATTCAAACAATACAGATAAATATAAATTTCTAAGATTGGAAATATATGTTTAAATATTCGTTTAGAAGCGGGCCCCCCAGCAGACAATGGTGATGTAATAAAGCAACGCTAGATTGGCACTAAATTTCTTCATGACAAGATAAATAAGCAGGAAAAAAACAAGCAGAGAACAAGACAAGAAAAATATAAACAAAATAGAAGAAGAAGAATTAGAAGACTATGCAATAAGAAGATGAAGAAAAGAAATTAGGAAAAATAAAAAATCTGACAGGATAAAGAAATCGACGATATTTTTGCGCCAGGCAGGCACTAAATCCACGGCTAAACAATGATGCATTTCTTGATCATTTGCCCATCCAATATCCAAATCTATTCAATCAATTCTTATATCCTTCTTCCTATATCGTCCTAAAGATTTCTGAAAACAAAAATAAGAAGATCCAACAACAACAATAGCAACAATAACAATTCCAACAATTCAAAAGGCCCCTTAAAAAAATCGCGCTAGATACATCTCATTTTTTTTGCAATTAATATGCCTTCATGTTTAATATACACACCTACGATTATTATATAATTAGAATTTTCTTAAAAAATTGGAAATGAATTTCCGTAGAATTATAATGAATATATCATTTTAGAAACCAAGCATATATATATTGTACAAATATATAAATCATTATATATATATATATCAATAATAATTCAAAATATCGATTTCTTTATATCGATAATGTCGATAATTATTTTTATTACTATAAATGCATATTCGATTCAATTCTCCATATTATATTTTAATATAATATATAAAAAATATATAGAATATACATAACTTAATATAATAAAATATGCTTTTCATTATTGGAATATTCACAAGACAAAATCAAAGCAACAAAGAACACCAAGCAATAATGCAATGCTTTTATATCACGAATACATAATAATATTAATTAAATATTCGATTACACTAAAAAACGATGTTCATATTATTTGTTCTAAATATTAAGTATATTTTATCACAATTTCGAAAAGATTCCTTTTAGTTAATTTGTAAAAATATTTCTATAAAAGATAATAAATCTTTCAATTTTAAACCTCATCATATTTGATAAACAATAATTTCCACTAAATTTACTTCTAAATTCGCTTTCGTAATATTTTATCGATTATATATAATATATATATATATTTTTATCTATATATTTAAAATATATACACTTATAATCAATCTTTACAATAAATTAACATATTTTAACTAATATCCACTAATATATATTTTCATATGTTTTAAAATCTATATTCTATTCTATATTCTAAATAATATGTTGATTCTTTATTGCATGTTTTTTCTTGGAGGCTCTTCATCTGTTTGATCTTCTTGGCCGTCAATCTTGAAATCATATCGTTGAAAGAAAAAGAATCCTCAATGACGACAGTCGAGACATGATACCAATACGTTCTGATCATCATGATGTGATTGATTCATTCAAATGTCATGAACCAATTCCAACCTCAGGGTTCTCAGAGTTCTCGTTCTCTTGCTTCTTGGCCTTGTTTTCTGCGCTGAGAGGTGCTAAGATTGCAGGTCTTTTCAATGTAAATCCCCAACAGTAGAGGTCTAAATCTGTCGAGGGTTCAATTTCCAGAACGCCCGGATATTCCGGGTCTTTTTCAAAAACCGTCTAAGCCAAACAATGCTATTCTTGGCCAAGAGCTAGAATTGCCAGGCCAAGCGCGGGTTGGGCGCTAAGCCGGGTGCGCCCTCGTACAAGCTGGCCAGTGCTTGTAAAATGTCATGCTCCTCCATACCACCACCTCGGAGGTTTGGAGATATGAGCATCCAGGAGAGAACATGTGCAATTTTTATGTGACATCTTTGGGATTGTACTCTCAACATGATGAATCATGTGCACCAATCTTTGTGCAAATAAATATCATGCACTTGTCCTTGATACGTTCATTTGCTCGCTTGTTGCCGTTTGTTTGTGTAATGTGATAGGTGTTGCGGTCTTTTGCCAATTGAAAGGATTTCTTGGGATATCTCTCCAATCTCTTAGCCAAATTGCAAGCCCCTATCCAAAAAACAAATCTAGAAATGACCTTGCAATATAATTTTTTTCCATATTTATTTCTTATGAGCCAAACGGAATGATCATGACCAGTGTTGCGCCTATCTGGCAATCGCTCGGCTTCCCTTGCTTCCTCGCTGTCATCCTCCTCGTTCCGCGCCGACAGCGACTGACCTAAGGGGTGCTGCGGTGGGCTCCGTCGCCGGCGCAAGCAGGGCCAGGGGCCAGGCAGGGTGGGGAGGTCTTGTCCAATGAGGATTCCATACCCCATAGACGTAACAATTATATCCCAGATATTCCACGGGACTGCCATATATACCGATCAATTAGGAAGTTTTGGGAGTCAATGCAGGCATATATAGCAATCCCATGGAGTGTCTAGATATGATATCATATGGCCTAAATTTTGTGCTTTTGGGGGGTGAAATACCAGGCAAATACTAAATCCACGACTAAACGACGATCCATTTCTTGATCATTTATCCATCCAACATCCAAATCTATTCAATCAATTAAATTCTTATATCTTTCTTCCTATATCGTCCTAAAGATTTCTAAAAACAAAAATTAAAAAATCCAACAACAACAATAACAATTCCAACAATTCAATAGGCCCCATAAAAAAATTGCACATAATAATATTTCTATTAATTTTTGCAATTATTATACCTCCATAATTAATATCCATAGCTACGATTAACATATAATTCGAATTTCAAATACATTTAACAACAAATCTCCATTAAAAAAATATATATCAAAAAAATACAAAAAATTTCTATTTCTATATATCGATAATTATATTATTAATATAATTATATATTCGATTCAATTCTCCATATTATAATTTAATATATTTAAATATGTATTAATTTAAATATATCTTTCATTATTATTGTAATATTCAAAATATAAAAACAAAATAAACACTATTATAATATGTTTATATCACTAATAAAGAAAATCAAACAATATTGCAATATGTTTATATCACGAATATATATTAGTATTAATAATATGATGGTTATCCAATATTCTTATTTATTAAAACGACCATTCTTCGCGAAAAAAATATTAATATTCACGAAATTTTCGCGAACCCTAGGTTTTTCTTTCGCGGGGGTTCACCATATCATAAAACCATTTAACCTGGTAAAGACTCGATTTCTAAATACAATTTATAGGGTTACTATAGGCTACGGAGTTCCTTTAAAGCCGATTCATTCGCCGAAAAACCTTTCTATGCTTCAGAGGTTTTTACGGCATACATAATATAGGGTAAACTACATAGAGCAAAAAGGAAAGGAAGCTTCACACGAATTCCAAAGTTAATGCTACTAACGATCAAGAAAAAAATAAGACAAGCCTAAAGACTCGCCAAAGAACATATAAATCTTTCACGAAAAAAACATTAATATTCGCAAACTCGAAAAAAAACTTTCGCAAGACCCACGATCATATCATCCAAGGCTCTCGACATTAAAAACCCTTATAAAAACCTTTTGCATAACTCCCATATATTCGATTATACAAAAAATGCGATATTTATATATTCCTTTTAATTAAATATCTTTCCCCACCCCCAAAGGTTTCAATTTCCAATTAAAATATAAAATATCACTTATATTAAAATATTCAAATTTAAACCTCATTATATTTCATAAAACAACAATTTCCACTAAATTTCCTTCTAAATTTACTTTCGTAATATTTTATCGATTATATATAATATATATATATATAAATAATATATTTATAATATATACATTTATAATTAATCTTTACAATAAATTAACATATTTTAATTCCATACCATTAATATATATTTTTATACGTTTTAAAACTTAAGCGGAGAAACACGAAAGGTAGAGACGGACCGGGTAACTATCGGGACCTTTTCGTAAGGGACTAATGCCGGTGTTTCAAGAACGTGTCCTTAATTAATCATGGTTGCAACCAACCAAGCCAGAGAGCACAAGAAGGCTCAAAAGGAACACAATTGCGGTCAGATTGCGCCACACGGCTCTAAAAAGAGGCATTGCGTCGACGCTCGTTTGTGTAAAGGTGTATAAAAACAGGCGCGCATAAAACTCGCAATGCGTAAACGCTCGCATGTGTACCAACTATAGTCCCACAATACTGCCAGGGATAGACGTTACGCTATAGTAGGTGTGCTCCACGATGCGGTAAGATTTCGCCACGCTAGAGTATAAGACTAAATCGAATGGTGTTCCGCGACGCGAGGGATTTCTCCACAGGGCTTTGCAAAGAGGCTGTGTTGCATCGATAATCGTTGATGTCGAGCAATATGGTCTGTAAACGTAATACGCGCTGTGTCAGGCTGCCGGGTGCGCACGCGCGACATCGAAGCCGCATTGCGCGACCTCTTTGCGCAGGGTTCGTGTTGTATTGCGCAACCTCATGGCCAGCGTCGTACTGCAGTGATTGCTGAGCGCATGATTTCACCTTATGTCCAGAATCCTAGCAGTGCTGGCGACGAGACGACGAGGGGGGGGGGGGGGGGGGGGGGGAATCAAATTATTTTTTAAAGGAATCATCACATGGGGGGGGGGGGGGAAACTCAAGGTAGTCCTTACCAGGCTACCTTTCGTGATCTATATTCTATTCTATATTTCTAATGTATGTTTTTTTCTTGGAGGCTCTTCATCTGTTTGATCTTCCTGGCCGTCAATCTTGAAATCATATCGTTGAAAGAAAAAGAATCCTCAATGACGACAGTCGAGACATGATACCAATACGTTCTGATCATCATGATGTGATTGATTCATTCACATGTCATGAATCAATTCCAACCTCAGGGTTCTCAGAGTTCTCGCTCTCTTCCTGCTTCTTGGCCTTGCTTTCTGCGCTGAGAGGTGCTAAGATTGCAGGTCTTTTCAATGTAAATCCCCAACACTAGAGAGGTCCAAATCTGTCGAGGGTTCAAATTCCAGAACGTCCGGGTATTCCGGGTCTTTTTCAATAACCATCTAAGCCAAGCAACGCTGCTCTTGGCCAAGAGCTGGAATTGCCAGGCCAAGCGCGGGTTGGGCGCTAAGCCGGGTGCGCCCTCGTACAAGCTGGCCAGTGCTTGTAAAATCTCATGCTCCTCCATGCCACCACCTGGGAGGTTTGGAGATATGAGCATCCAGGAGAGAAACATGTGCATTTTTTATGTGACGTTTTTGGGGTTGTACTCACAACATGGTGAATCATGCGCACCAATCTTTGTGCAAGCAAACATCATGCATTTGCCCTTGACACGTTCATTTGCTCCCTTGTTGCCGTTTGTTTGTGTAATGTGATACAGTAGGTGTTGCGGTCTTTTGCCAGCTGAAAGGATCTCTTGGGACACCTCTCCAATCTCTTAACTCTTAACCAAATTGCAGGCCCCTATCCAAAAACAAGTCTAGAAATGACCTTGCAGGTTAACTTTTCCATAATTTTTTCTTATGAGCCAAGCGGAATGATCATGACCAGTGTTGTGCCTACCTGGCAATCGCTCGGCTTCCCTCTCTTCCTCGCTGTCATCCTCCTCGCTCCGCGCCGACAGCGACTGACCTAAGGGGTGCTGCTGCGGTGGGCTCCGTCGCCGGCGCAGGCAGGGCCAGGGGCCAGGCAGGGTGGGGAGGTCTTGTCCAATGAGGGCTCCATACCCCATAGACGTAACAATTATATCCCAGATACTCCACGGGACTGCCATATATGCCGATCAATTGGGAAGTTTTGGGGGTCAATGTAGGCATATATGGCAGTCCCATGGAGTGTCTGGGTATGGCATCATATGGCCTAGATTTTGTGCTTTTGGGGGGTGAATGTCGTCCATACCTTGCGTAGACTTGTCTTGTCCAAGGTGGCAGTGGCCCCCAAAACAAATAGAACATGGAATCCCCTTATCAAAATCATGCATTAGACATCATTTGAATTCATTTGATCTATATATTTGATCATTGGGCACAAATACCGAACAATACACCGAACTTATGGCCAGGTCTTCCCTCACCAGTGTGAAACCATTGCAGCTGTTAAACACCCAAAAAGAGCAACATGCGAACATGTGCACATCCATCAAAGACACTTGGATGACCTTGGATGCAAAGCCGCCAAACCATCTCACGCCCGTGCAAAACCAACAACTCACACCCTAGCGTGGAGACCCAAACCTGTTGCTTGGCAAGGCTCGGTACCAATGCACCGCGCTTGTGGCGGAGACCGCGCAGCCGTAGCCCCGCTGGTAGCAGAAGGCCGCCGAGCACATGGCACGGGCGACCCCGTGCTCCGCTGCCTGGAGGATGTACCTCACGACAGCTGCGTGGTGAGTGGGTAGGACACTTCCAAAAGTTCCGACATCTTCTTGGGGAATTCTGGCATTCTTGCGAAATTGACGGGAGAATGGTCGGAGTGGGTGCCGCGGAGAATGGTCTTTTCATCAGACTTCGATGACCTTGAGGAGGTTTGGATTGGCTTGAGACACACACACACTTATGGATATGCGTACTGACTCGACAGCGGTGCCACACGCCGGCCTGAGTGAAAACCTAAGGAACCAGGACAGGTGTCAGTAAGTGGAGGCCCTTACTCCAACTCAAAACACGAAACGCGAGTAGCGATTAGTAACAGAACCACATGAACCACCATGAAAGCAAGCCACAGCGAGAACAACAGGTAACCAGTTTGGCAGGTACGTTTGCACGGACCGCAGAGGAGGTCTTCGTTGGGCACCGCTCCTCTGGGGCACCGGTGGCTGCCTGCTCCAAACCTAAAGGTTCCCTTTGATTCCAAGGGTTACACACACACGCCTCCCCGAAGGGAGGCATGTGTGGCCTCCATCCTGCCCAGAAAGGAGGCAAGGCACATGTGCATGCAAAAGGGACAGATGAAAATGAAAAGGACGAGACAGACAAAGGTGTGTGTGGTTGCCGATGAAGAAGAACCCAGTGAAGAGGGACAACCGATGAACCAAACCTCATTGTAACGAACCTGGGCCACCCGAACCTCGATGTAAGTAGAGTACGCGTGCGTGTATGTGTGCAAACTAAGGTCCGGACGATAGTACGCGCAAGAGAAAGAAAGGATAAGGATGAAGAGACAGGAACACAGAAAGACATGAAAGAAAAGAAGGAAAAACGTCTGTGGGGGCCGATGAAAGGGGAACCAAATGAACGGGGACAAACCGATGACAGTCCAAACCTCATTAGAAAAACCTGTTGCAGAAGCCTAGTTTGCTTGTAAACACGCCGCGCGCGGGGAAAGAGGGGGGAGGTGGAGGAAGAAAAGAGAGGGAAAGAAAGAAGGAAACAAAGTTGCTCCCAGCTACGACACAAGCGTCCAAGGACACACCAAAAAGGAAGGGCTCCCAGCTATGACAAAAGCATCCAGGGACACCCAAGGAAGAGGGTGAAGAGAGGAAAGAGAGAAGGAAAGAAAGAGAGAGGGAGAGAAAGGGAGAGGAGAGAAAGGAAGGTGTTCCCAGCTACGAACAATCGTCCAGGGACACACCAAAGAAAGAGAGGGGAGATCCTGAGTATTCCATTCAGGAAAGCCCCAGAAAGCAAAGAAAGAAAGGGGGAGGGAAGGGGGAGGAGGGGGGACTAAGTGCTTGACAGGTTCCAATGAACCTTAAACTTGCTTTGACCGCTATGGTCACCTTGTGCCCTGCCGAAATGGCTGGCTGCTTTGACCGCTGCGGTCACGTGAAGGCATGAGCCAGCTTGGAATTCCAAAAATGAAACAAAAATCTGAGTTCTTGTGGCGTGAGCCAGCTACTGTCCGCTCCGGACACCTACGTTCCCAAAGCCGGGGAACATGGACAGACACCCGTTCGACGGGTCCACGGGAGGCACTCTACGGGCTCATCCCGGGTTGGCACGAGGCCAAACACACTTATGGATATGCGTACTGACTCGACAGCGGTGCCACACGCCGGCCTGAGTGAAGACCTAAGGAGCCAGGACAGGTGTCAGTAAGTGGAGGCCCTTACTGCAAGGTTGGAGGCCAGCAAGACTCAAAACACTGCAAAGTTGGAGGCCAGCAAGACTCATAACACGAAACGCGAGTAGCCCATGAAAGCAAACCACAGCGAGAACAACAGGTAACCAGTTTGGCAGGTACGTTTGCACGGACCCCAGAGGAGGTCTTCGTTGGGCACCGCTCCTCTGGGGTCCCGGTGGCCCCCTGCTCCAAACCTAAAGGTTCCCTTTGATTCCAAGGGTTACACACACACACACATGTACGCACTACTCAGGGGGATGGGGATCACGACCCTTGCCAGAAAACACGGGCCGCTTGGGCATGGGCTTAAGCGGATGACCATCTCCTTGAGGCCGAAAGGACCGTGATTGCAACCATTACACCCAGAAACGGCCTACTTTTCCGAAAAAGGGGTACTCCAAACAGACCCCGCAAAACTGCTTCACGATCTGAAAAAGGACTAAAACCAAGGTCGCTGCGTCGCAGGGTGGCTGTCCACAAGTTCAAATACACCACTTTCCCTAGTTTAGCAGCCACGGTCTGGGTCTCCCAAATTAAGCTCACGCTCCCAGTCGCCCCCAGGACCCGGACCCTGGGTCACCAGCGACAACCTCTGAGACGTCTCCGTCTGTCCCTCACGCGAGTGGCGGAAAGGCTGCGGCTTCATCCAGGCTCAAGGGCCGTTGGAGAGAGCTACCCAAGGCTTGCAGCACACCCTTGCGGGGCCGCCGATTCCTCAACCGCGAGGCAAGCCCAGGGCCCTGCCCAGCACCCCGGACATGTTCGACCACGCTGGTGACTTCGGAAAGAAAGAAGCATAGGATGTGTTTTCTATGTGGGCGAAGACATAGATGCTTGAAGCAACATGATGCCACTCTACACCCGAAAGTGTAAGAATTGATTTCAGCCGTCTGCAAACCAATCATTGACGTATGCCTTCTCTCAGTTGTCTCGAAACGACAGATTCTCGCTCGTTCGCTCCCTCAATCCCCTGAACGCGCGGCGTCAACCAATGTCATGAGTTGTCCTTTCATGCCCATGGTAACCATGGACAACCAAGCGTTTGGCTCGTGTCCCCCCTTCACATCGCATGGCTGATGCTTGTGGCTTGGTTTTTGCACTTTTGAGGGCGTCGCGCCGGGCCCCTGACCGCCCCTGGTGCCAAAATCATCAAACGTGCCAGGCGCCAACATCCACCTCAAAATGCCCCAACAACCTGTTCACTTGAAAGTAAGGCACAAAATACATGAGGCCAAGCAACAACGAGGCAGAGGCCTCCACGTGGCGAGGCAAAGCTCTTTCAGGGGACACCCAGTTCTCTTCCAGTTCTCATCCGACAAATCTTTCAACGGCCCATGAACATCCATGAAAAACCTTCCACACCAAGGCTCAAATGCAAACAGGCCAATGACAAGGCACCTGCAAGCTTCTCCGGCCCCAGTTCGGCGTGGTCTTCCGAGTGAGCACCATTTGGCACCGTTTTTGATGCGAACTCATTCATATTTTGGACGGCAAAACCTCTTGATCCATAATGTTGATTACTTTTTGTGTTTCTATAATGTTTAGCAATTATTATGTTTAATCATGTTTAATCCATCAACAGTTGACTCCTTCGGGTCTTGAATTTTCGACGCGCTCGTTCGTGTTTGCTCCTCATCCAGTTGCCGAAAGCCAGTCCCTACATGGGTAGCCCTGGTCGCCATAGGTGATGGAGAAAAGGGCTCTCGGATCCACATTGGCCATCTTCTCCGTTGCAAAGCAAGTGGCCAAGCAACGGGTCCATAATTGTATGGGTCCATTGTCTTCATGAATGTGTACTTACAAACGTAGTTGCAATCTCTTTCTGCCTTTGGTGCCAAAAGCAAAGACCACGAAACAGGATATAGACTGCAAAGACCTCGAAACACACCTTACTTCCCGGATGCTTCCCTTGTTCGTTCGCCAGGGCAATCAATGACGACCTTAACATTCCTCACACGATGGCCCCTCCAAAGTAGGGGGCCGTACCCAAACCAATCCGGAGGGGTCCGGACCCCGAACCAATCCCTAGGCCCTAGCCCTTTGGTTTTGAGGGACCGGGATGTCGGCCTGCTTGGTGCGTGTCTAGTGCGTCTGGGCCTCTTGCGACCCACCGGTGGGTCCCCCCCCCACCTTGGACGTGGCCGAGCTCCGCCGAGGTCTGTAGATGGAAGAGCCCTGTGGCGTGGCGGGTGGAGGAGCTGGGAATCGAACCCAAATTCAGTCCAATACCAAATCCAACGAATCCCAACCACCACCTGAAACGACCTGACGGAGTCTGGCCGGGCATATAATATGTATATATATATGCCATACATGGGTTGTGCTGTTGGGACCCCTTTCAGTATAGTGCTTTCCACCTCTCAACTGCAGGAGACACCTTGCAGGGTCTTGACATGACAAACACGTGATTCACCAACAGCCTCTTGGAATCAACGGAGCACCAAGCACGCCGGAATCCGCTTGATCGAATCCCCAAGCATCTATAGACCTAAGCAAAGCGTTCGGAACCTGCTGCACTCTTCCGTAGCACGGAAAAAAAAACACACACACACACACACACATCTTGTCCAATCCACGACGTTTTATTTGCCCGTTTGATTTGATTCCATCCTGTGGGTCCCAAACGCTTTCACCGGAGACTCCCGGCCCCATGGGCCTTGTGCTGGGCTCGTCAGCACGTTGTGGCCGATGAACTCCGCGTTCGCCTGGACGTGCCGCGCGTGGAGCATGGCCAGGGCGAAGTGCACCTGACCGAGACCGGTCGGCCCTGCCGGTCCGGTGTGCTCGGTCCGGTCGGATGGGCGAAGTTGGGAGGTCTTGTTAGAGTACAGTAGAGATGGGGAGATGGCCCTTTATTGGGGGTGATGGCGAGGGGAAAGGTGGTCAAAGAGCACCGAAAGGTAGGCATTAAAAGGAATGGAATCCACAGACAGGGTGGAAACGAGGTTATATACGATATTATCTTGCCTTCAGACCCTATAAAACCAGCCATTCTGACACAGCCTCTATCGTTCACCTTCGAGCGATCACCCCCACATCCATCTTAGCTGACCTGGAACAGGGAGAACATCTGGCAAGCCCAAAAGCAAAAGAGCCAAACTACATGTTACCTCCAACATAAGCGAGACTTCGTCCCAGCCCGCTTGGAGCCCGCTTCCTTTCCCAAACCATCCATGTATGGCTTATTCACCGTATACATTATGGCCATAAAAGGAGGTGAATGATGGTATATAATCATATGAATACCAGGACCCTCCAACAGGCTGTTTGGAGACCCTAACAGGTGGTTTCTGGACACCTGTTGTCACCAGGAAACACCTGTGAAGTCGGGTGCTGGTATATTCCATACGTCCGGACTCCGGACCGCCCCGTCTGTTTGGGGACCGCACCGTCTGACGCACCGGAAGACGGAAGCCCAGACGTCACGGAAGACGAACTCGGAGGATCCACGGTCCGACTCACCGTCCGGTCCGTCCACGGTCTCCCCGCACCTTGGCATACATCGGTGAGGATACGGTGGAACCTCAGCCCATTCGGATTCGTTCGGGACGAAAAGGACGTTGGCTCACTGAAGAAGCAACCAATCTGACTGAAGAGTCAAGCTGAGTCAAGCTGGATAGGTGTGTTCCCAAATGATCAGATTCAAATCGCTTCAAAGCAGCTCCCGAGGTCTTGGGTGTTCGTCACGAACAAGAAGGCATCGTTTCTCCGAGCGAGACAGTTTTCTTATTTTTTTGGATATGATTTGGATATGGCTTTACCAACATACGATCTGCCAGTGAGCATCGACTTCTTTCCAAAACTAATGATGTTAACATATGTTATGTGGATGGAACCTTTATTCCTTCGAGGATGGTTGGAAGGTTTGTTCCAACCACCCCCAAAACCCGCCTCCGCGAAGAACACCGCGCCACCGGGTCCGTCCGAGAGCGGCCAAACGAGAGCACAAAGGCATTCGGGCTTGGGAATGGGTCTATGGCATTAGAGCATGGCTTCTATGGGTCTATGCCCTAGCGACAAAGGAGTTTTTTGTTGGATGTTTGTTCCCTTTTTCCCCGCAAATGATATCGTATACAGGACACTCCTTTTCAATCCTTTTCACACAAAAACAGAGCTGGCTGAGCTCCATTGTGTCGCCATCCAAAAGCTTGGACACAAAACCCTCAAGGGTCGCCAATTTGCAATAGAACCCACCAAGTTATACATGAATGTCCTCTTCTTGGTTCGTGAGTTCTATACCGGACCAAGTTATTCATGAATGTCTTCAACACTCTGAGGGCTCTCAACAATAGGTCCGGCATGTTTGTCTGCTTTCTATGAATTTCTATGACACCCCATCACATGGAGAAACCTCACCATTGCTGGCCACCTATTCACCCACAGTCAAAGATGTACATATTGCGGAAGAAAGCACGTCCACCAATTCACACGGCTGTGCAGAGCGCTGGATGACTCAAATCCAAATGGAGGTCGTTGAACTCGAAAATCAGATCCCACTCTCAACTTTGGTTTTCCCATGATCTCCCCACCCAATCAAGAATCAAAACATATCGAAACTCTCGTTCCGAGCGAAGCACTCCACGCTTTCGCCCGGGGCACTGTGTGGTACCGAACTCTTCGCAGGCACTAACGACCCGTCGAAGACCACCTCCTCACGAGGGCTCTCGTTGGGGCTCCCGTTCATCGGCCTCTGCAAGCGGAGCACAGCGCGGAAAGGAACGTGCCGGGTGTGGAAAGGAAGGTGCGGTCTAGTCCATAAGAGGCTGCCGCGGGGTGCGTCTTGGACTTGTTTGGTTCGGACCTCCATGGGATGTCGTTTCGAGTTTCGACGAGCATCTCCAAGCATGTCCGATCAAATCCTAGGACGTCACTGATGAATTGACGCACGGGAACGTTTCAAAAGACCAGGAGGTTCCATGGGTTCCATCGACTGTTCCTCCGCATGGCGACTGACCTAGACAGAACGCATGAAGAAAAAAGCTTCTCGCAGCCTCAAACGGCACAGTCATCCCACTGCACCTGTATTGGGTGGCAGCTCCGTCACCCGGCATGGGCGAGTGCGCAAAGGGGGTGAGGCCCAGTTGGTGGCAAAGGCTGTTGCAACCTGGGCAGGTTACAACTTCCGGTGCTGGCCGGAGGAGAAGCGTTTCTGACTGAAACGCCCATGTTGGTTGAGGTGCTGGCATGTTTCCACTGTTTCCACCACATGTATTGTGGATTGGAAAGAATCAAGATCAAGGTGCTATCTAATTACGAATGATTCACTATGGTGAAGGAATGGGTGACAGGTGGGTTGGCGAAGGTTAGGTGCAGCACGACCCGCAGGAAAGGTGGGAACGTGTTTTCACCCCACCTTTGCTTTCAGAGACACCTGGTCATCCAAAGGGCCATGCCATGTAAGTTCACCAGGATGCTTTGAGGGGGGACGTAAAGCCTCAGGTGCTGGCTGCCTGGCTCACCAAGCTTCCGAAAGGGAGGCCTTCAGTGCGCCCAGCTCCACCGTGCTGGAAGCGATGAAGAAGCGATGTGATGAAGCGGTGCTGGGGAAGGAGCCTTTCACATTCCTCACCCGACTCCTTAATGTTTCATTCTTCTTAAGCAACCAGGACCCCCAGGAGTTGGGTGATTCACGGACACCCCGTAATTAACAGCTCAGGGGCCAACAAAGACCAACACCTCGACAGGAGGGTCCTGGAAGTCACCTCCATTATGAACTTCAGGTCTGCCAGAAAATCCAGATCCAATTCGATGTGTTTCTGTTGGCGCCCCAGAATCCTGGTGATCTCCACCCCGAAAGCTTGCCAAGCAGTGAACGCAAGCTGAACGCAGACATGAACTTCAGGAGACGATGGCTGGATGGCTGGTGCCAACAAAAACATCCAACAGAAAGGAGAGGATGGAGAGGATTTCCCACCCCTTATCATGACGAATCTCACATGATGGTGTGCAACAGAGACCTAAAAGGCCGCTGGTGGATGGCCACAGCCATATCCAAACCTCTGCACCTTTTGCAAATCAAATCAACTGGTCAAGCCTACATCATGTTTCACGTGTGTCCATGCTGACCAGGAAAAAAACAACGCATCCGAAAAGGCGATCCTGCAGATCCAAAAAGACATCAAAAGATCCCAAACACACTCAGTGGCAAAACATTGAAAGACTGCCCATTTCATGCGAAGGGTCATGACCTATGGTGGCACCCTTTGGTTCAAAGAATTCATGGAGAATCTCTCTAACGTGTCACCAAAACAAACGTCCTCTCCAGGCAGCGGTGGCTGGCGAAAAAGAGCGCCATCCCCCGAAGCCCCATGTTCCTCGCACGAACCCGGTCGTCGTAGCTCCGGCAGCTTGAAGCCGGTCTGGTCCAAAGGTACACTCCGACTGACTCACATCACATGGAAGTGGGACATGGGCCTTTCGAAGACCATGTTCTGAATACCAAACAGGTGGCACCATCCACTTCCATGTTAGTGAGTCAAAGGGTAACATCTTCTGGAAGTCCCTCACAAATTCTTCTGGCGGGCCAAACTCGCATCTCAGGAAGGGTGGTGATGGTCTTTGTGGTAGCGCGTTGATGCTGTAGGAAACGTTTGAGGAACCCCCACCACTTCCACCATTTCATCACCTTAGAACCACTGCCATTTCCAACCATCGGGGGGAGCGGGCGGACGGTGTTTTCACCCTGCCAACACCGTGAACGATCGGACAGAGATGGACGCAAGTGCCGAGTTCGCGGATGGGCCAAGGACTTGCAACACCTCCTCTCCCAGATGGGTCACTGGCCATTCTTTAAAACAGAATGGGCATATGAGATCATATGAGGCAAAGGCGGATGTCTTCCAAACCGACCGACCCCATCGACCCCACCAAGCAACCGACTCGACCACGCTGTCAGTTCCTAGATCCTGACTTTTGGAGCCATACTCGTTGCCCAAGTTGGAGCTTATGGCTTACGGCCGCAAATACTGGAGATATATGGTTGTTATAATCCGTACTCACCCGTCCACATTCCACATTGGGAGGGTTAGCTCATGAATGCTCATGACCTCGTACCAGCTCGGCCTCTCTCTTCGCCTCCGGGAGTCCCCCGTCCAAAGCGCGGCCCGCTGCTTCCGCTGGCCGTGTGGATTTGAGGATCCGTGTAGAGGTCATCGACCCCTAAGGGGCCGAGAGGTCATTGACCCCGACCGAGAGGTCGCACCGGTGGCTTGCGCCGGGTCCGATGACTCGGGTGAAGTGTCGACCCCGAGGGACTTGGGTGACCCGAAGGAACAGACCAAGAAGGATGACTATTACTAGTAGCGTGGCACTTGTTTCTAGTTCCATGAAGTAGATACGTGACTCTTCGGATTTTGACGCGCTTTTCTTGGGATTCAAAGAGGTTCAGGGTACTTTGCTTTTTTCACAAGACGGTCAACCTGGTATCTTACATGTTCTGAGGCCACGATCAATCCTGCTTTTATCTCATTTGCTGGTATGGGATTGCTCATCTCAATCAAAATTACACTATCAACACTTTTTGATATAGAATGTATATTGCCCTCACTGAACTGCTATATGGAACGAGGTTACGACCAAATCCAGCAAAAACGTGTGCCCCATGATTTCGCACGGTTTATATACGTTTCGCAATGCATGCTTTAAGGCGATCTTTGAAAAATCAAAGGCACCGTTCGAGCGGATGCCTGCGGAGGATGAGGCTCCGGAATCTCCAGGGTCTTTGTGTATAGCAAACATGGATAACCCGCTACCATGGCATATAGCTGCAAATTGGCAATAGCTACTATGGCTAAGATCTCCAGGGGCGGGTGGTATAAACTAATCTGTCCAAGGACACCTTGTATGTCCACCACGATTTGCTCGGCACCAGAAGCTTCGAAGGTGAAGTGAGAGAAAGCATGAGGCGTATTCCTCGGTGCATGTTCACAGCCAGTCCATGCAATCATGACTTTGCGGGTGACCAAGCAGGGACCTGCTACCTCCCTGGATCATGAAGTGGACAACCACCTGTTTGTAAAGGAAACTGGTCTTCCATGTTCCACTGAAGCCCATGACCGAAGGTTAATCAAATGGAGCACGGCGGACAAGGTAGACTATCGCACAAAAAGTAAACACATAAAACAATTAATGAGCCCAAGAAGGCAAACTATGGCACACGCCCCAACACGCACTAAAACCGAGGCTCTTGGGGCCCACTTCCAGTCAAACTGCCTACCGGAACTGGACATTTGACTTCAACATCAGCTGCATATAGCTGCATGGCCAACGAACGACCATCTTTAAGCTGGACTGCAAATGGTCACCAGCCCTGTAGAAAGAACACACACACTGACCAATGGATTTCATGAGCAACTCAATTGTTGCTCTGAATTAAGTGTTGATTGCTTTCTGTTCTTTCCTTGGTAGTGGGAGTTCTTGGCGCACAGATCGAAAGTTGCGAGATTGAAACACAAAAGATGCATCAAAACACAAGAAACAATCAAGCATTGGGCTCTATAACTTCCTGTGGCCCCTACACTCGTAAGAGTAAGAGGCATCTCATCAATCCTTGGTGGTTAACACTTCATGAACAATCTCTATTCCCAATGGAATGAACACTTTGCAAGACTTGAAGATCTCCGTCTTCCACAGGCGACTAGACTCCTCCAGCTCCACCAGGTCACGACCACCCCCACCGACCGACGACAGTCCGTCGAGACGCGGCCACCTCCACCACCGAGGCGCCGCACCACGTCGTCGGCGACGAAGCCGGAGTTGCTGGAATGCTTCGTGAAGTTCCCATCCAAATAGGCCTCCACCTCGGCGTCGCGTCGCGGGACCTACACCGGGGGCGGGCTGGCCTACACCGGGCAAGGCCGGTCGTCCATGTGGTCGAAAGGCAGTACATGGGGTGAGGTGAAAGGGCCCATAATAAAAAAAATAGTCTCATGATTTGATGTTGTTTCTGCAGATCGCGGCCTGTGAAATTGCTGCGGATGGTGTTCACAAGCTTCGCAAATCAACACACATCGATTTGCTCAAGTCTTTTTTGATGGGAAATCAAACAACCGGTATAGGGCATAGGAGAGCGGGTTTAGGGTTCCCCCACTTTTGGATCGAGAGGTGCCTTCGTACTACACCTGGTGCAGCTCGAGGTTCTCCAGACCATCCAAACCTCATGTTATCCTCAAACTAGACGGACTACAGAACAAACCACACACACATCACACTTCAACACGCCGTTCTATCCTTGGATCCCTCACACAGGATGATTACGTAAACCACAAAACCACAACAAAATGTCTCATTCCCAAACGCATGCTGGGCTTTTTGGTGTCCCAAACTGGGCTGCCGCAGTCACGGGGGCAATTCTTGGTGCTAGGCATGCCGGGGTGCTTACTCTCCACTCACTTAGGGCCCAAGTTCCACAATGTGCCACCCACTTTATGGGTAACCCGTTTGGATTTCAAATCGTCCTTCATTGAAGGGACCAAATAGGGTTCGAGGAGGGTCACATATATATATATATAATCTTCCTTTGCTCTTGAATCCTTTGAAACAATGTCGTCCATCGACAACTTAATTGTCAGAGTTGAAACTCTTGGATACGAATGCCCCCAACTATATATAGTCATATTCATTGTCTCAGCTCTATAAACCAACATAGAAGTGATTCCATTTTGATGTATTCCCAGCATGCACTTGCTCCCTCTTGTGCTGTCTTCTGCAGTTTCCGATGTAACACCACACAGAAAAGTGCATGCATGCATGGCCAGCGCCTGTGCATCAGCTTGCGCACTGCGCAAGTTGCTCTCGCTGGTCGCAGTGATTTGCAGTTTCGCGTACCAAGCTTGCCACCTCCCGTATTCAGTTTTCAACATGTCCAGGTAGTGCTGATCTGCATTGGCCTTGGACAGATCAGCCATCACGGTGTCTGCGATGCCCAACTGCCTTCGGGTGAGAAAAGATTTGACAACCGGAATGCGCTGGGCAAAAATGGTTGCCACATTCTTCATGGACAGCTCTTCAGTTAGCGGAGAGCTCACAATGGCGTCGAGGCTGGACCAATGCACGCTGCAGAACACTTCCGCCACAAACTTGTTCCGCTCTGAGGCTCTGATGCATTCTTCAGGACGACTTCACCAGTGTAAGGCGCTTCCCTGTCCGATTCTGCTTGGAGATGGTGAAATTCCGCCGCCATAAAGGAATATAAAGGAGCCAGCGTGCTTGCTCGAGACATGGACAGCCAGCGTGCTTTCATGCACATTATTGCCACCACTTGCCGTAACTTCCTCTACTTTACCGTCGAGAAGACAAGCCAGAGACGACTTAACCCATTGCAGCTGCCCATGAAACTGCACTTGGAGCAGCCTACAGCTACAGCACGCCGTTGGCCAAAGGAAACATAGAAAGGACAGTATGGCCGGCCCGAAAGAAAGCAGGAGGGAGGAGATGAGAAGACAGTTAAACAGAAATGATGAACGATGAATGACGACGAAGATGACGATGATGTATGATGACTGATGTACATGAAGTACACTTGATTGGGATTTTGTGTTCTTCCTTAACGTCATCTGACACAACCCTTCCTTCTTCTTGTGTGGAAGTGGTGGCTCATCTCTGCATGATGAGCAAAATTAATCCCTGCTTGTAGCAACACCTGCAAGTCCAAAAGAATCACATGATTACTACCCAAGTATACCCAAGTACTCATGGGGAGGCGCCTCATATTCGCACACATCTCTAGCTCATATTCGCACACACGCCTTTCAATTGCCTTTCAAATCACACTTCCATCATCAAAACTCATCTTCGCACACACTCCCATGCCACACTCGAACACACTTATCTGAGATGTGAGACTTGTCGTGGATTCCTGACGTGGGGCTAATAGCATGGTTGGTCGGTGGCCACAAAATCACAGCTTGCTTGCATCTGTGCACAACTGATCCTGTTGTTGCTGTTGCTGGTGTTCTTTTCGTGGTTCTTCTTGGTTTTGGAGATGGTGGTCGCCGTGAATCAACGTTGTTCTATGGCCTTTCTGATGTTCTCTTAATTCCTTTACGGTCGTTTGCTGCCTGGATAGGATCGATTTCAATGGTTTGAGACACTTACGTCACTCCAACAGGTCACACTCAAAGCTCAGTTAACTGATGTTAAATGCTGAGAGTCAAGTTTGGTATTCATCTCATCATCGCGACAGCACAAGTCACCAATACCCTTAGTAGTCGTCCTCGTGGTCGTAGTAGTCACGGCGCGTGCAAAGTTACGATTCCGTGCAAGAGCCAGGAGATCGCCCCGTCTTCTGCCACTGCACCAAAAGTGTAAATGTAGCTAGCAATTGCTCCAAAGCATTCGGTGTTTGACACTTGCTAGCTGCGCCATGCGCAGCCATCCAGTGAATCAGCTCAATCAACAGCAACACACGGCTGGATTTCTTGATCACTCTGAAGATCTAAAACATCATCCCCCCCGATCGACCCCACGAACTTCACCGAGCCGCCGCGAAGTCGCGCAGACCTTCGGGCCGCTCGGGCAGCTGCAAGACCGAGGCCTCGATGAAGTCCTGAGGCCGACGCCCGGCCGTTGAGGGCAGCGAAGAGGACGGCGGGTGAGGACAGGGAAAGCAACGAAAGAGGGAAATGGCATGGATATGACCGTAGGTATGAGGGTATATATGATGGTATATATGAGGTTCAGGGTTCGCTCGTTCATCCTTGTTCCTTTCCAACCTTGGAGTGCGGGGGTCATGTAGAATCATGTAGACAGGCTCTCAGAAGGGTGGACCTAGTTGGTGCTCCGCTGGACATCACCAGGGTCACCGCCTCGCCGCACCAGAACGGACCGACCGAACGAACTCAAGACTCCGGCTCCATCGGAAGCGGTTCTGTCCGGGCGATCCATGTCCCTCTCCATTTCCTTCACTGGATTCATAAGTAAAAAACAAGAAGCAATGAACGTAGCAAGGGCATTGCTGGGAACAAGGGCATTACTACTAGCAAGAAGCTACTAGTATAGCTATTTGCTACTAGAAGTTTTCCTTTCCCTGATTTTTGTCCTGCTGCCCTTGTACCCATACGTGTCATCTTAGTGCCCCGCTGGTGGGGCCCCTTTTCCTTCCTCTCCTTGCTTGTCATATCTTATCTTTCCATTTCCCTGTCATTCCCTTGCTTTCTGTTTCCTTCTTTCTGTTCTTTCGTGTACCTGTACCCGCTTGTAGCATCTTAGTGCACCCAATTGAAGATTAATCAACCTTGCTGTTGCCCATATTATGTCGCGGGAGCCCTTTCCTGGTCCTTCCTCTACTTTCCTTCCCACTCTGTCCTGTTTTGTTTTATCCTTCCAGTGCAGGATTCATATGGACTTCAAATTCTTTACCTTCCCTTCTTCCCCTTCATTTCCTCAGGTTGTGCCCGTTCAATGAAGTCCTAGATATGAAGTCAGCTTGTACGAGAACTTGCCTTTGCCATGGCTTGTGCAAACATTTCGTGGCCAACCTGCACACCAACCAGGTTGGTTTCCATAAGTTGTTGCCATAGACGCAGGGCCCCAACGATCTTTCTGTGTCCACGTGGCCCATGAAGAATCCAGCAAGGTTCCCCCGACACATCGAGAATAAGGGAAAAGGCCCACCCAGGTGATTCGTTTCATTTCCATTCCCTGAATGATTAACCTTTGCACACTCCCAAGCCTCAGCCAGGCCAAAAGGCCTCTCTCTCTTGGGTTTCTCTGGGGTCCATATAGGTCCCCTTGGGTCCATCTGGGTTCTCCCACCACCTTCTTCGGCGGACCACAGGCATTGAAGCGCTCCGCGTAGTCCTTGGCAATCATCTGCATCATCACCTCAGCAGAACAAAGGTCGGGGGATGACCTCACTAGACGTCCCAACGGGCAAGTCCAGCTTCAACTACAGCTATTACCTCGAGGTGGACCTAGCAAGATGATCTTGAATGCCTTGGGACCCAACCCAATTGGCCCAATTGGGCAAAACCCTCAAAGAGGTGACGTGGGTCGAGTAAATCTCTACTCGTTGGTCAGCTGTTCACGCACTGTTCAGTCCCGTTTTGTGGCAGCGAAGGGTTCACGTTTAACATCGTTTAACTATATACGGTCTGGATACAGTGAGTCGTAACTCTTTGATTCCATCCCATGCCATGGGACGTCTTCTCTTTCGGATGGCACCCTCCTTGGGCCTTCCAGTCCTCGCCCCGTCCTCAGACCTCCAGGGCCCTCCTCTGCGGTCCAGGCACATCACTTTCCAGGGCTGAGACATCGGGATCGCTATCGTAGCCTCAGCAGCGGTGGCGGGTGCGGGCTGCGGTGCGTGCTGCGGGGGTCACCAGCGGTTTTCTCACGAGGTCCGGGTTTCCAGCAGCCGTGAGGTCAGGGTTTCCATCATCTAAGAACCATCCTTTGAGTGCTGGACCAGGGTTTTGGTTCCTTTCAGGAGTCTTTCAGAATTCAGGATTCCCTACCACAAGAACGTCCCACGCCCAGAAGCACGGCCATTGCGGGGGCCCGGGGCCGTGCTTCGTCTAGCGCGATCATTACGCCCAAACCGTCACGCGCCAAGCGACGCCACCCGAGCGACACCCTGGGGAGTTCACTCTCCGGGATGGGTTCGTGACTCACCTGGAGCACCGACCATCCACCCTGCAGCGAACAACCGTTCCCTCCACCGGGCTTGGTCAACCAAGGTATCCACTTACCCGTTCACACTTTCAATCGACTGTTCACAACCTGTCATATACCGAGTACCGGATCTCAAGGGGGGGGGAGCCGCGCTGAGCTCGCTCGGAGCTGTGAGCTGAGACCGCTGAGCTCGGCGCGCTTGGCTACCCAGTTGCGGCGGTCCATGCTCACTGCCCTGGCGGGCGCGGCGGGTTCGTCCGGGCGGGCGCCGCAAACGGGAGGCCCGGAGGGGTCCCTCCGAAAGCTTGGTCGTTGTAACGTTGATGTAACCATATGGCAAAGGAAGGAACACATCAATTCCTATCCAAGCATGAAGCAGGCTCCCTATAATTGAACATAAGAAGTGTTATGCAGGGTTTGTGTCACCTTTCGTGGGTCTTGTTGGAAACCACTTGTCAATCCAAGGATCTGGCGAGGTCGAACAAACTTCCACCTCTACTAAGGATTAAGCACAGCAAATCTTCACATCAAACACTGATTTCAACTTACAGTACAACATCTTTGCACATCCACCTCCAATACCTCATAGACTCATAGATGGTTTCGCCATGTTTCACTCACATCCTCCAACCCCAGAAGAGCTTCACCAGTTGTTGCCCAAATAACCAGTCACAATCACCCTGACACGACGGATGGGGCTGGCATTTTGATACTCAGATAACTATTCACCTACTAGCAGTTCCAAAGGAATGGCTTTAGTCCCATCCAGTGAGTGGATGTGACAGGGGCACCCCTACCATCCAAGTTCAGCACCCCGTCTTGGAACTCCTGGTACATCTTTGGAGTGGTTGACAAAGTTTCATCCGACTCCATGTCGAAATTCATCCGACTCCCTCAGTTTCCCTGGAGTCGGAATCGTGGAAACGCCGAATGGTCCACACATTCGGTTCGTGGGATGTCCCCAAGGTCCCCCCCAAGTCCAGTTTGGGTTCAGGTGATCCTTTGACTGGGTAGGAAGCCTGGGATTCACCTCCACATCCTGGATTAGATTGACCAGCAAAAACCCGAGAGTCCCAGAAGTTGGTTTAAGGGAAGATTTACAGGACACCCAGAGTTTTTCATTCCGAAAAAGATGGGTTTCTGGTAGATGTTCTTCAACCAAGTTCTGCGAGAGGAGCACAACCTGCCTGTGGCAAATGCGCATGGCACCCTTGGCAAAGGGCTCACTTTCCAAGCGCACCTGCAGCACTCTTCTTGGCAATCCGAAGAACCATGCATCCCTTAGGGGAAAGTCGTGGTTGGCGAAAAGGACGGCCCAAAAACATGCTGCTTTGCTGTTTCGAAAATATTTTCCGGTGGAGAATCTGTCAAATCTCTTTCGCCAAGGCAGCCCAGATACGCCAGGTAGCCTGTCTTGCAACTGCGGCAAATTGCAGTCGTGTGTGTTGTCTATTCAGTAAACCTAAATCATGTCGTTACATTTCCTCATATTGAAGTTCAGAAGAGTGGTTGCTGACATGAACAAAGCAGTCAACCTTCCCCTAAAAAGTGCAAAACATATCAAAACATGTTTTATCTCCAAAGTTTCAGATGACTGTAGACCACACACTCAATGACATCCATTATCATGACTGCCATGCAAGTCCTCAATCTCCACCTCTGAGCATCAAACAAACACCTTCACATCTCTTCAGCCTGCACTGTCCACCTCTTCATCCTCCACCGAGGCACCAGCAGCTCCTCGCTTCGCCAGCTGCCGCTCTTGGCTTCCCAGCGGCGGCGCTTGCCGCGCTCCAGGGGCAGCTGGGACAAGCGGTGGGCCCAGGGGTCTGGGCGGGCTGAAGCCTCATCAGCAAGGGAAACGTTTTGTGTTGGCGGAGATGGGGGAAGGGTGCGTTTGTGGATATACCCGATACACCTTGTTAAACAAGGTGCCCGCGTTGTTAACGACCCTGGAGTTTTTAGCACTTTCCATCATGCGCGGAAACGAATAATCTATGGGAAAACACGGGGCTGCGTGTTTCAGCCACACATTGGAACTGCAACGTACAACTGGCTGAATTTAGGCCCCCCGTGTCTAGAAGACAACAACGTATGTTGAGGAGAAAAATCATTAACCCTCGCAGTGTTTCGTGTCGAAATCATGTTTTCATGACACGCTGTCCATTGCGCCTTTTGACTTCCGCGAAGCAGACGCAGTCAGAACCTCAGGCACTGTTTTTGTCAATTTTTCCAAAGGTTCTTGCCACTGTTTCTTCGAAACCGGTAGCTCCAAGTGTACTTCATCAAGAGCGGGTCTAGTCCAGTGGAGCATTTGGCATGGCGGCATGGATACTGCTATACACCGTGGTACACGAAGAGTATAACAGATCGTGAGAAGTGCCTAGAACCGTGAAAGACAACGTCCAACGATCCGGGTCCAGAACCGTGTCTAACACAAAACTGTCAAGAGGTCCCGTGTGTCTAGTTGCTATAGAGAAATCAAAGAATCCACATCCTGAAGCCAAACAGCTCAGCGACGCGGTTTCATGTAACAAACAAAGAACCAGGTCAACCACCCGTCAAAGGCAACGGTGCAATTCCGAACCAACAAAACCTCCATGGTCCATGTTTCGGGAAACAACCATACCACGACGTAGTTACCCGCCCCCACCCCCCCCACCCACTGTCAGAAAGTCCTTCAAGACAGCAAAAATGCTCTGAAACGCAGGGGTCACTAATGACGCCGGTAGCTTCGACAAGTACAATTTGAAAAGGATCAAGGATCAAGTTTAACTTGCACATCGCGTTGACGGAGATCACGCCCTCTTATCTATTCGAGATCTGCATCACCATGTAGAGCCCAAAGAGCTCCTGCCAGGATGAAGCAAAAATCACGAAAGAGAGGTCCATTGCGCGTGTAAGAAAGCCAAAGGTCTCAGACGCGCTGCGCAAAGATAAGCAGAACTGCTCAAACATCCAAGGCAGCAGCAGCACGGATGCAAAGCGACACAGCGAGCCAACCACATGAGATGCCCGGCGTCCCAGTTGGTGATTGTTAGACACAATCTTGCGTACAAAGGGGGTTCCCAACTAGTTTGAGCATCGCACCTCTCCACTTTTCTATGGTAGAACTCCAACAGTAAACTCGTTGTGGAATAAGAGGAAGACAAGATCCGGACACAAAGTCTTTCTAAGCTGGGCAACTAAAGGATTTCATTGCTTCACTCTTTTGAAACTTCCGCCTCTCCTTCCTCGACTCCTGGTTAGGTCTCTTACAGCAAACGGCGTGGACGACTGCTTAACGTCCGGGCAAGGACGGCCTCAGTGGATTGGTCCTAGGCACATTTAGATCCAGAAGTGCACCAATCATGTGGAGTCGGCCCTCCGCTAGTCGTCGATTCGAAGGAGGGATGCGGCGTCTTTCATTCAGAAGGCACAATTGATACTCAGTATTGGAATATTGGTGATCAGTACTGGAATACCAAGTCCTCCAATGTGAGAGTATTGAGTGGCTAGGTTTCTTAGTCTTAGTTGCTTTCATCAAATCTATATTTAGTACTACTGGAGTACTGGTGATCAATGCCGGGGATCAGTACTAGAGTACTGGGAGTCAGTACATGGAGATGAGTACCACGGGATCAGTACAAGTACTTCAGTACTGGAGTAATGGGAATCAGTTCTGAAGTGTTGGGGATCAGTAGAGAAGTCGCAATGAGTACTGGTGATCAGTACCCGGTAAGGTACTGGGAAAGAGTACTGGTGATCAGTACCTGGTGAGGAGTACTGGTGGGATCAGTACTGGACTGCTGAAAGTACTGGAGTACCAAGTCCTCTAATGTGAGAGTATTGAGTGGCTGGGTTTAATGACTTTTTTTCAAGGTCGGGGCACTATCCTGTCATCGTGTTAGCATATTCCGTACCCACTTCGATGCGAAAAGGAGCAGTTGGTGTTACTTTGCACATCCTGTGGAAAAGATGGCCGGGTGTTTGCCACTTGGTGATGTTGAGCTTAAGTCAACACCAAAACCTAGCCGCTTACCATCCAGATTTCCTGGCAAAGTCCCCATGTCTGCCCTATCCGTCCCTCCCGGGGTCGACCGGGCCTTCCGTACCGCCTCGATCCAGCGTTCTTTGGGCGTCGCGTTCCGTGGAGGCGCGTGGGGTGGGCTTCGTAGGAGCACCGAGGGGTTCGGCTCACCTCGGATCGAGGCTTCGGGATCCGAGGCTTCGAGACAGTTCGCCCTGGAAGGGTGGGTTCTGAACATGTTCGCACTGAGTCAACTTGACGCGCCTCGCATCAACGGAAGCCAACATGCATTTAGCTAGAGTTTTCACTAGTGTCTCGCAACTGACGTCACTGTCTGGTCCCTAACCGGGCAATCAGTATCAAAAATACCTCAACAATCCCACAGTGACATGTCTCAACCAACTAAAGCGATGGCAAGCCAAAGGAAACAAACTGCCCCTCCTCAGGAGGTTCAACCATATTCAACCAAGATGGTAGGACGTCTTGAGAGTGACAGGAGTCACTGGACCGGTGTCCATCGCAACATTGGCTGAGTGGACGCAACGCTTAACCGCGCACTGCGCTGCACCCGTCTTTATGAGAGTACATCTGGGCACAGCACCGCCGGTGGTGGTGGCAGTGGTTGTCAGAGTACATCTGCACCTCGTAGGCTTTGAGCCCCTTTTGCTTCACAAGGAGTACGGTCCGGTGTGGCGTGGGTCGGCCACCGTCGCTTCGTCTTGCTGCCAGCACCCTTCGCCGATTCGCGTCGCCTCTTGAGATCTGTTTTGGGGTGTCGCAGCCAGGCATGTACGCCACTGCACTCGGTGTTGCAAGTTGTTTCAAGTTGGACATCAACTCGGAGAAACACATCTTGCCTGGACAGAGCTGAGCAAGAGAGTCGAGTAGGTATCAGGTAAGAGGACAAGGATGGTCAAATGATGTCAAATGTAAAGCAAGAGAGACACCTGCTGAACTGAACCTGACAGCGAACAGCATTTGACACCAACTCCATCAACAAACAACAGGGTCTGTTGAGGTGTGTTTTAACGATCCACACCCTAGCTTAACTGCAGGGGTGAGGCACTGGCCCGCCTGTCCGCGGGGCTTGATAGCTTGCATCCCTCCCTCGGTCCGACCATAGCCACCCGCCGACCATACCGTGAAAACTTCCCGGTGGTGCCCAAATATGCCCAAGTGGCGCTCGTCCATGGTCGACAGCCATTGAAGGCTGGCACCCACAATGCCTCAGCGGAATATATTTCTGGGGGAACTCGAGAAAAGGCAACGCAAAATCATTTCTACCGGTCAAAAGGCATTTCCCGATTTCGAACGATTGAAGTTTGCCAGCCAGGTGAAGAACACCATTCCGCAACTGGATGCATGCAACTTCGGGGACTGTCAAGGAGGATGAAAACACAAAAGGCAACTCATATAATATCGCATATCGGCATATCGCATGCAGACTGACAGGAAGAATTATACTCCATCAAATATCCTGAGTCTCCTCAACACCAACACCAACACCAACACCACCACCAACACCACCACCACCACCACCAACAACAACAACAACACCTAACATCGTGTGACGTCTGCACCTTGGCTTCGAGTAAAGGGCCTTGACTATGAATCCAGTCTGCCAGTCTCATTGGGCCAGGAGGATGTTGGGGGTCTTCCACGACATCCCCCGACGTCGACAGCCAAGTGGTAAACTTCTTCTTTGCTGACTCATTGTTGTCATGTTGACTGGAAAACCAAATACTTAGCAAGAAGCTAGGGTGGAGGCCAGAAGCTAGTAGGTTGGAGGCCATTAGCAAGATTGAGTCTTTGGATCTTTTCAGCCCCGCGACACGCGATGTGCAGTTGGAAGATCGTGTGCTGACTGACTGCGGTTACCGGGATCCTGATGCTGCGCAGGAAGTGCAAGAATTGCACTCAGGGCAAAAAGGCTGTGGTGCAAACTGGTTGCGCTGAAAACAACCTTCACCATGACTTCACCTATGTTCACCTGATTATCTCATCCATATATATCTAGCCCTCTCCAATCTCTTCCGCCTATAAAAACACGGGTCTCCCCTAATAACAAACACGCCGGTGCCATTGCTTGAAAACTATGTAGGGTATATAGTGTTTGTAAATGGGTACTCGGGATTCTTCTTTACGTTCAACAACACTTTTCCAGGACGTCTGACGTCGCGAGAAGGGCGCAGCCCAGGCACTCATGGCACAGCCCAGGCCGTGCTTCCGGGCGATCCTGGTGCTCCGAAGCGGGCGCTCGACCACGCAAAAGAACCACGGCTGGGTTTGGAAGCGACATATATGGCTGTGGGTCAAAACTGGGCAAACCCTGTTTTTTCCCACCCCAAATGAAGAACAATGACTACCAAAACATGGTCAATCTACCAGGGATGCGGCATAGCCATATGGCACAACCTACCAGGGAATACCAGGGATCTTGAGTGGTCGAGGTCCTTCCGCCTCTGTAAACCGATGCGGAACTGGGTCCGACCTATGCCAACAGGATCGACTTGAATCAAAGTAGCTCGCTCAAGGGCTGGAAGATGCTGGCAGTGAGACGTGCAGTGGTCCAAGACATTCAGAATCTGTCCATTCCCAACGGTTCTTAAGCGGGTTCTTAGCAAGCTATCCCTGTAAGACCATTCATTGAATTCAAGAATAGACTTTGTCAGATGATCAACTGGCTGAACCCTCACCCAGATTCTTAGTGATCGGTACAGTTTCTGGCCCACATCCTGAGGACATTATCATTGATGATCCAAGTGTCATCATAAGCAGCTGCGAGTGAATGCGTTGCAAATCTTGGATGCTCTTTCCTGGCGAAGCTGGGTCAGAAGGACTTACCCTTGAACCACAAGACTTACTATAATTATAGCAATTAATATTTATGTATGTGACCTGCATGCAGCTGATTGTAAAAAAAGCGCCCACACCTCGCGCAACGCGTCGCGATACCGGTTACCCGCCCGAACCGGCCTCCGAGGAAGAAGGCTTCGAAGGACCCCAGGGACGGCGGCATGGTTTGGCGTCAGGTCATGGCGGCCTACCACATCTCCTCCCGCGCCTGACTTTAACGTCGCGATGGTCGGGGGACTTGACCCGGATCGCCCCGTGAACCGGGAACACCAAGCAAGACATGTTGAGGATTCACCGGACAAAAAAACAACATTGCCTGAAACAAGAGCAAGGTTTGGATCTTCGTGAATGAATTGTACTTTTTGTGGTTTGCATCCCACAAACACAAAGGACATGCACCTGATTTGAGATGCAGGAAACCTGCGTTTCGTCTCGGAAGATCCAGGAGTTGTGGCGTGCGTTCGCCATCAAAACCGGAACCAACCCATGAACTTCTGAAGGTGAACGCATGGTCAGCATCTTCTCCAGCGGCTAAATGCGGGATGCATTTCGTCTTGTCCCCGTGGTCAATAGGTCTGGCATTGCTGTGTCACATGCCCAGCTCTGAAAGAAGCTTCGGAAGAGATCCCATGTCCCAGAGGTCCTTGAGGTGTCCCAATTTATCCCGGATCCCAACAGAATCGGTGCCTTTGGAAAAGGAAACAGCACAGAATTCAACATACTGTCAATTCACATCTTTTTGGGACGCCCGTAAAGGTTGAGAGGTGGCTTTTGGAGAACTCACAAACACCCAAGATTGGTGATCAATCCGTCTTCTCCTGAATGGCACAGATCCGCCGTTTCTGGCGTCATGACACCCTGTATCAATCCAGTCTCCCCCGGCTGAACTCTTCTGGGATTGACACCGAGCCACCTGCCAACGGCAGGGACCCTATCGGCCCCGGGTCAAAACCGCGAAAGTACTCGCGAAAGTCACTTGACACCCAAGCCATCCCTTTCGCATCCTTTCGCATGTTGAACTATGGGGTCACTGCTGATTGTTGCGGAGGCTTGCAGGACTGTCAACCGGTGCCCGCGAAAAAGCGAACCGGTGGGACGGAGGTAACACCGTGAGGAAGGATGAAAAGCACTCCGGTGCTCGCTTGGTGGTTTGTGTCTTGTTGTGTTTACATGTCTTTTTTTCCAGGGTCGAAAAGGTGCTCATTGGTTGAAAAGGTGCCAACAAGGTTGAAGGACCCTATAGATCCTATAGACTATACATGACTTTATACCATAGGTACCCCAGGTTACCGGTCCTATACTTAGACTTAGTCTCCCTCCTGGTGCCTGTTGATATGTCTGAGATTTCAGGTCACTGCTTGACCTGTGGGTCAAGAATGTATCAAGAATGTATGATCACTTCACGAACCAAAAGAGCTTGACGACGCATCTCCGCAGCTCGGCCTGGATGCCTTTTTGGGGCTCTGCGACCCAGTGCTTTTGGGCGGGTTTCTCCACGAGATCAGGAGCTGCACAATTATCCTGAGAAGCTCCCAAGAGCCCCATCTTTGGGTCGCCAATTTTCAGATTCCAAGATTGCCTGCCATCAAGTTAGGCAGGATGAACCCTGCGGGCATCAAAAGCAGTCGCAGCACAGCTATTCTATCTCTCCTTCAACTTCAATAATGCTGCTGTGCATTGCACACGAGATACAGAAAACAAGGGAGAAACACCTGAGGAGGGAGCAAAGTATTTACACAAGAAACAAACCTTTGATGAGGGAAAGGAACATGCCCCCCAAAATCACGTTCAACGCACTGTCACATAGAAAATACAAAGGAAGAACCATATACAGTATGTTTTCTTTCAAGACTTTAAATTGTGTCTGATCTGCAGATTTCTTGGCTCCTCAAAGTGTGGTGAACATTGAACACACACACACACACACCAAAATCCACATCCAGGCTTGAACTACACTTACTGTAACAAACAAACCCTGGGAAGCGGCAAAACCAGCGAGTCTTTGCAACGTGGACAACAAATATGAACGCAGTATATAGGCATTGCTAACCCCACAAAGTACTTTTGCCAGGAGAAGACTGAGCTGGAAACAAATGGAAACAGTAGATCCGCCAGCCAGAAACGCCTGAGTGAAAGGAGCCTTCCAGTTCCATCCGTCTCACCCTCGATGCCCGCCCTCGCCCACACCGCGAGGTCTGGCGCATGCCACTCGGAAGAAGAGCCAGTGCTGAGGAGGAAGCGAGCAAAGTCCGAACAAATATTCTAAACAAATCCACCTAGTAGCGTCCCTGCTCGTAGTAGCGATGCCAGGAGCCCCTAGTAGCTTCCCTGCTATGTCCAAGTTGCACTTGCCAAGGATTTTTTCCCATATGCATTTGTGCGGCAAAACCACTAAAGGCCCTCATCTCAACACTGACGTCGGGTGCGTGGCGCCTCTCGCAGAGGCAGTTTCTGAGATTTATCATTGTCCGGGAGACGTCTCAGTTGGATCAAGTGCCAAGAGTCTGTCTACAGAAGCCGCAAGTTCCAAGCCTCAAGTAGGAAGTTGCAATGATAGCGAGGGAGGTCGAAAACGGACCTTTTTCCCAGAAACTACGCAGGGATGGATTCGTGTTCCTGTTTGTGGATGTTTGCGGCCGCTTTATCATGCAACAACGGCCGTCAACTGCGATATTGACCAAGGACTTGGAGTCCTAGTCCGTGCGGGTCTTTGTTTGTTATTCATCAAAATAACGATCGAACATATATTCAGCAAACCGAAAACGGAAGGCCCTAGACAAACATTGCAGAAAGCAACAAAGACATACCGAGAGCAGTCAAAGTGGAATGATTTTTGTGGAGGGTTTTCATGGACACGCATGTCGCATTCATCTGTGTTACGGGACGTGCCCCGGAGAAATGCATCACGTGGCGCGAAGCGGCTTAGCGCATCCACGGGGAAAACCTTCGCCGATGGGGTGGGATTCTGGACGTTCGGCTTCTGCGTTGGCTGGCCACAAATGGTGACTGTACCCATCAACAAATGGCTGCAGGCTGACTCCCTCCGTTGCGATCGAACATGCAGGTCAACTCAACCTATTTTCACCTGTTCTATCTCTGAGTGTGGTGTCCCGAATTCCCCAATAATTTTTCTGGGTAAGTAGGGTTTGGGGTGTGTTTGGTATTGCCAACAGCCAAATTAAGAGACTTGCGGTCACTCGGACCTCTGCAAAATGCATAACGTTTGCTTGGCCGACGTGAACCACAAAACTGAACCAAAAGACATGCCAAACACTCGTTATTTGTTTGAAGAACAACCGATATATTTTTGAGGAAACCGGCCATCAGAGTCCCATCCCTGAAACGGCTCGGATCACGGATCAGCAGCGATCTGGTCCTTAAAAGTCTGGTCCTTCACTCAGCAGGAATATGTCAAGGTGGTTGGAATGTGAGGTGCATTAAGAACAGGACCCGATGTGCTTTGTGATAGGAGAGAAGTAAGGTGTTACACGAGTTTGTTTCAACTGAAGGAAACGGAAGATGAATCAAAACTAATAGTTTGATCTTCAAAACTATCTCCTTCCTTCAACTTGTGAATCGGTTCTACCAGTTCTGTCTTGGTGTCATTGGACGGGCCTTCCCCCAGCCAGTGGTTGGACCTATATATGGGCCATCTGCCTGCCCTGTGGCTTGTATTTGCGTTCTTTAGTCAGGCTTCCACTAAGACCATCCCTTTTGGGGTGGCTGGACAGACCACAAATATGGACTGACATGGTCTAAATGGAGGGAACCCCATGGATGGTCTAAATGAGCGACCGGCAAAGCCTCAATTGTTCTTTGGTATTAGCTAAATTTTAGTTATCGTCTTTTGGAATTCCCTATATTGTTTTCCAATAAACCCTGAATGCATCAATGTCAAACACCTGCCAAATGGGTGCGGCCAGAGTTTTGAATCTCTGCCTCAGCTTCTTCACGTGTGGTAGCTGAGCACCTACATGCAAATATATACAACCGATAGATATTTTCATGTACAAAGATTTCTCTCATAAATCTCACATCCGGGCCATCCATCACAAGAGCACATTTCTGTTCAACATGGTTATCGTTCAACGCCTAATACATCTTGCGAACATATCGTGGGAATTCACATGTTTGCAAGAAGGCCGGGAACACTGCGAGAATATGCTCCATATACGCTACGAAAGCTATTTTACAATATATAGGATAATATAGGAATGGTCGGGGCCCAGTCGGGGCGCAGTGTTCGCACGGGAAAAGTGTCAATGTTCGCATGCTACACGGTCTGTTCCACAATTCCATGCACAACTATGCTGTCAGGAAGCGCAGGTGCATGCAGGTGCTGGTCCAAACGCAGTACTTGTTATCACATCACATCGCATGTGCTCATTCCAAGGTTATTGTTTTTGGGAGTTCATATATCGTTTATTATCGTTTTACAGGTCGAAGTGAAGGATTTGGCTCAATCTGTGCTCGAAGACTACTTTGTATCACGGGGAGTTTAGCCTCTTGCTCAAAATAGTGTCTGTCTTTTTGGCAAACCACCAGACAACCAGATCTGCTGTCAAAAGAGGTCTGCACCACGCTGCTCGGCTCGGGTCTCTCGGGCACGGGCGCGGGAGAGAAAATACCGAGAGCATTGGGAAAGCCTCTGTGAAACGCAGTGCAAGGAGGGGGCCCGACCAGGCGGCAGGGCCGTCAGGGTATTGGGTCCCTATATGTCTGTCACATATGCCAGCATTTTACGTAACAGTTGCCGAGATGACTGTTTTCCTGTGAGCCCTGTGTGACCACCATATACCGAGGCGTACATGCCACGGCTGGGCCCCCCTGCCAAAACCGAGGCTCCTCATCACAGCGGGTCTTCGTGGGATTCGTGGCCAGCCCGAAGAAGTCTTCGGTGGCCGACATCGCAATGCGGCAGCCATTTTTGAACTTCGCAGAAAAGTGGCGAGAAGGGCCTGAGGAAACTCGTCTTTGGTCCAACAACAATATGTGAGGTGTCTGAGAACCTCATATCTCAGGAGTCTGCAAATATCTGCAAATATAACATCACTATACTCATCACGCTGGACGACCATCATCGCCGTGCTCTAAGATCTACATCGGGCCTTTTCGCACCGTTCGGTGCCAAACCAACGCGAACAGATTGAACGATTCCTCCCT